GGATCCGAATATCCTGATTTTTTTGTCTAATATCTGAAGTCTGGCTATCTAGAAGCTACAGATTTGGATACCCTGAAATTTCGAGATATGTGGATCCGTCTCAACCTGGTTGCAATTAAAAAGTATTTTGATAGATATTTTTTTGAAGTAGAAATATATATATTTGTATACATTTTCCCTACTACAAATAAAAATAGTTAAACAAAAAAATTGTCAAAATATTTCCCTTTAAAATATCAAATCTCTTATTTATTAAAAAGGTATATTAATAGATATCTTTTGAATAGAAATATTTTTTTTGTTCTTAAACCAAATAGAAATAGATTTTTAAAATTATATTTTGCTATAAAAATATCAAATCTCTTGTAATTTCAAATTTATTACCATTTACCAAAAACGACCCAAAAATAAATGCAAATGGACTAGTGGTCACTAAAAATAGATAAAAATATCTTACGGTATTTAAAACAAAATGTCAGATTCGGTGAATTAACAGAAACGGATGGTAAAGTCGAACCAGGTCGAAAAAAAAACATCTATCGACAAGACAAGTAAAGGGCTTTAAGAACACAGAACATACATACGCTTTTGCTTAAGCAATCGGCACCCACTTTCCCAGAAACTTCAAAAACACAGTTGGAGGAAGAAGATGAAACGACGAATAAACCCTTAAAAGTTCTCATCTTTATATCCCGGATCTACCCTCCTCTCTTTTCACTTCAATCTCTGGTTTTCTCAAGCTCAAGATCGGTCTGCTTTTTGTGATGTTTTGAGCGTGAGAGGGAGATGTTGTGTTGGGGCGGTTCGGTTAGGCGGAAAAAGAAATCCGGTTCTGTTCCGGTTTATCTGAATGTCTACGATCTAACCCCTATGAATGATTATGGTTACTGGCTTGGACTCGGCGTCTTTCATTCTGGTGTTGAAAGTGAGTTGATGATTTGTTTTTTCTCTTTCTCGATTTCAATTTCAATTTCAGTTTCTGGGTTTGGCTTTTTCTGCTCGAATCTACTTGTTTGGTTGCTAAGAAAGTGATGGGGGACCGATGAGAATTGTTTGGTATTTGGAACTAGATTTGTTGAGGATTTTGGTGGGTTTTAAGAGAACTGACTTTGGTCCTCCTTCGAATTGACCAGAGTAAATAAAAAAACTTGATTTTGATGATTAAAGTACTTTAGGCATAGTGCTAAGAACATGATTTGATTCTTTATAGGTTCTTCAAATCTTGCTGATTGATAGTAAATCGTTAACTGATTAGAGGGTTCTTTTGCTTCGATGATCAATAGAGTAACTCATTGTTGGTTATCTAATATTTGTAGTCCATGGGGTTGAATACGCGTTTGGAGCACATGAAACTTCGAGCACAGGTATCTTTGAAGTGGAGCCAAAGAAGTGTCCCGGTTTCACATTTAGGAAATCGATTCTTGTGGGCAAAACAGACAGTGGTGCGAAAGAAGTCCGAGTCTTTATGGAGAAACTAGCTGAAGAGTATAAAGGAAACAAGTACCATCTCATCACAAGGAACTGCAACCATTTTTGCAATGAAGTTTGTGTTAAGCTTACTCAGAATCCGATCCCTAGATGGGTAAACCGACTTGCTCGCTTAGGTAACCGATCAAGTGACTATTATATGTGATTGGCTGAAAGAATGATCATCAATTAATGGTCAAAGTTTTTTTTTTAATTTTGTTTTCTGAATTTGTGTAGGGGTTCTCTGCAACTGCGTGTTACCACCACGCTTGAACGAGGCAAGAGTGAAGCGGGTAGTAAAAGGAGAGCTTTCAGAAGGAGAGAAGAAGAAACTGAGAAACCGATCAAGATCAGGTCCTTTACT